GTATCAATTTTTTTTTAAAGAAGTTATGACTCTGCTATGGCATTACCTTAAAAAATGATTATCTGTAAAATCATCCTACACATATGCATGAGTTAGGATATAGGTTCACAATAAATGGTAAAAGCATACTGAGAACAAGTTTTAAAACAAGGGAGCCTCTTTGAACAGCCAAATTAAATTATAGCTGAACTCTTGAGTGTACTGAGGATTCTAATAAGCAACAAATAAAGACTTTTATTGGCTAGCAACATAATGAGAGTTACTGTGTGAAAGATGAAAAAAAGACAAATCTGGGTAGTTTATCTCACTGGATTATGTTATTTACTTAAATGGTAAATAAGTCTGTCCAAAGTAATGCTACTAAAAACTAGTATATAAATATTAAAGAGCAATTATGATCAATGACTCTTTAATGTAAACATATTACAAATTTTAGTGGAAAGACTGCTAAACAACTGTGAAATTAAACAATAATTAATTTAATACCACTTAAGTTCTATTTCTTCAAATTTAACTTACTTATTGATTCATAATATATCAGCTTTATAAATGGTTTACTATTTTATGCTTATAAACGAAGCATTTATTCTAAAGGAGTTTTCTCTCCAGAATACGGCAGTTGTATGTAGAACTACTTCAAAACTATTATTTACAGAAAGGAGGTTGTCCTTACTGAACTGAAAGAAGGTATTCCCCTCTTCAGTGATTTGGTAGGAAGTTACTTTTAATAGAACTTTGAAGAGTGGCCTCCTAGCAGAACTCCTTCAGTTGGCAAAACAACAAACAGTATTTAGCAAACCAAATCAGATTTAAAATGTATTTGGTTGCACTTTGCTAGATCTTCAAATCACATAAAAGGTAGAACCCTAGATTTCTTAGCGGACTACTTGTTCTTGTAGAAAGTTCCGTTGCTTTTGTCACAGCTTAAAAAACAACACAAAAAAAACCCTATAGCACCTCCAAGCCTAAACATTAAGCGAGTATTATCTACTCCTATTCTACAACATTCTGATTGCCAGTGATTTTTTTTTAACCTTAAGTATATCTAATAAAATCATAAGGCTCCCTCTAGCTCTTCAGAGAGGAGTTTACTAACCAATGATCCTATGTAATTCCCATCCAACAGAAAAGATTTGAGGCTGCCTCCCCTTCCACAAAAAATGTTTTCAACTGTTTCTTGCAAGGATGTAGATGGTAAATGAGACCATCTGCAGAGGAATTCAGAAAGCACTGCTCCTTATATCCACATTCACTCAATCTATTAATTGCTTCCAACCTAAGCTTTATATAGAAAATTCTAGAGTGAAACTTTAACCTGTTTAAACTATACATGCACCCCCAACTTAGATTTACCAAGCTAGTTAAAATTAATTTTCATCTCGAAAAACAAATAACATATATAGAATATCTACAGAAATTCAAACATGTGATCTGGTCTCAGTTCTAAAAACCTACATTTAAATGCAGAATCTTGAAATTTATTTTTTAATTATTAACAGTGTATCTGTGGAGTTACCCTAAAACAAAAGATGCCGATGGTAACTGTAGAAAACATTTACACATACCAAGTATTTACACACAACACTGGTAATGACCTTCTAATTTGTTTAATCTTTTCTGTTTCAGTATTGGATATTTTAGGATAGCAGTTACTTAGAAGACTACAAATAATATAGTCGAAGTACACCATTGATATTTAGTCTATCTTACAATAGCCATAAAAAGCCCCATAGTCGACTGGCAAATCATTTCAAACAAATGAATACGAAAAATGCTAAATTGAAAAAAAAATACTAAATTGAACTCCTCACACGCGTAAGAGCCATCTTTCACATACTTAATATTTACAGTGGTGCTGAACCTTAACTATAAAATGAAAAATAAAGGGAACCACTAACTTCAAGTCATCACCTATTCTGGTCTCCCTTAAAATAAGAAATATTCCCAGGAACAACAAAAAGAATAGCTCCCTCCACCCCCAACCCCCGCCCCTTTTTGAGCCAGTGTCCAATTTCTTCTTTTCTGAACAGCTGTATTATCCAACTTAAGTTGCTCTGCTAATTTCAGTCCCACAAGGACTAACTTGGAAGGCAAAAAAATACAAGAAAAGATCAATTTGCTGGGAAAGATCAAATGAGAAAACTGTGGGGACAGCACCAGGTCAGCGTGTGGAGAACTAAGCAGACCTGTTCTTCATTAACTGTGGCTCTCTGGGGATGTCACACACTACCTGTCCGTGGGTTTTATTGAACCGCCTAACCCGCCTCTCTGTTCCATTCTTCTGGGCCCAAGTGAATCATATCCTGCTGCTGACAAGTTAGCAGGGGACTGCGGCTGCAACATGAAAGTACTTTTCTTTCTTGTCTAAATCAGGCAGATTTTTGAAAAGACGACACAGCATTGACTCGTGACATGGCAAGATGAAACGAGAGGTCTGGGCCGGTCTTGGAGCTGTGCAGATAAAAGTAATCAAATGACACTCCTGGAATGCAAATTGGCATTCTTGACTGCAGCAATTGCACAACCATGAAACATCCCTGACAGCAAGCAAGATTAGGACAAAATGTTATGTAAAGCACTGAACTCAAAAACTCTCACTTGAAAATTCAAACTGTAACACTTACATTTTAATATAGCAATAGTCAGCTCTGCTTTTGTCTGCTTCTTTTTGTAATCACATATCCCTGCCTGACAGATCTCTTACATTCCAGGTAGAAGAAAAAAAAAAAAATTAGGTATTGGGAAATGTATAACTGCTCTTAATATTTTCTTAATATTTATTTTTAAAAATCACAGGAGGTTGGTTCTTGTTCAAAGTTTTACATGCAAACACCACCGAACTTAATATTCTCAAGGGGGAAAAAAAGACAGTTTCAGTCGTTTCTCACAAGACACTCAAAACAGAGTTCACATTCAGGTTCAGTATTATTTCCCTCAGGTGAAGATACTCTTGTACTTGGTAGAGTGATTAGCAATCTGGATTTTAAATACTCTGCTCTCCAGGAACAGAAAGAGTAGCTACAACTAAGAACTTCATTAAGGCTGAAGAGTTTAAATGAAACAGCTACAAATACAACATAAAACACACATACTCTATAAAGGTTCACAAGGGATTTTGTGTGTGTGTAAGCCCAAAGGGTAAAAAGGAAGTTCTATTAACTTGTATGAGGTCTCACTACTCCTGACTACGTCTTCAAATCAGACACACTAAATAACAGTGCCAGAAATAAATTCCTCCAGTTAAAACATGTACGTGTGTGCAGTTAACGTCTGAAACTGCAGAATACAAAGCAGTGGATAACAAATGGATTTAGCCACTTTTCAAAATGATTAGTATCTGGGAATAGATGTGTAGACAAACAGAATGTAGGCTGGGGGAAAGGGAAGAAAAATAATACCTACAACCGACTTTACAGTGTTCTTAGGTAGATGCCGCTAGAAGAAAAAACCCAAGCACTAACTATCTTTAATATTTTGCTTTGACGCCTCCACTTAAAAAACAGGTTCCAACCACTGCAACTGTCCGCGAAGTACATAAAAATTAATAAGGCAGGCCACTTTCTGCCACTTTTATCCTGGGTACACAGGATTGTTTTATGTTATCTTTCGTACATCAGCTTTACAACAGCTTGACTCTAAGGAAAATGGGAACCACTATAAATCGCACGCTGCTTTCAAAACCACTTTAATTTCTGTCAGCGTTACTGTAACCACAGTCTTGGGCGCAGGCTATTTTGTGTGTGTGTGTGTGTGTGTGTGTGCGCGCGCGCGCGTGCCTACATCTGACAGTCGCATCTCCTACACTCCAGTTGTGACTTTGATCACTGAAACAAGAGGTGTCACATTAGGGGGAAGGGAAGAGGGAAAAAACGCCAACCCGCTATCTCCCTTTTTCCTACATATTCCATCTACATGCAGAACGGTAGATCAGATCCCCGAGCGGGGGTAACAATAGCGGCTCTGGGTGGAAGCGAACTCAAGGGAAGGGAGTGGTCCAACCCCATTTCTAACAAATCACTTCCCCGAAAGCGGACAGAGCGCTCACCACCAGGAGAACTCACTGCACGCTGCCTCGCTGCGGAGAAGCCGCTCGGAGGAGAGGAGCTGGGCTCGAATCGCGTCTTCCCATCTCCTCCACCACTTGCCCTTGGAACTTTTCTTATTTAGCCTCACTACACAGGGGATTTCATTCACTTTTCTTTCTTTTTTTTTTAATTCTGTCCCCTCCCCGGGCCCCAAATGCCTCCCTGCAGTCAATGTGTAAGTAGAACAAATGCGCTCCTTTAAAATTGCACCTCAAAAATCTCCGTCTCTCTCGCGTTTATTCTCCTGCCCTACGTTTTGCACATTCTTCATAAAGCCTCCAGGAGCACTTCCTACGTTTTCTTCATTTACAAAGGGAGGGTTGCCGAACGCGAGGGAGAGGGGAGGGGAAACGCCAAGGTGCCGGGACCCGGCGGCTGCGTCCCCGCCGCGCGGCGCACCAGCGCGCCCAGGCGCCCACGCCCGGCCGCCCGGCCCTCACTCGCCGGCAAGTTTTAAAAGTTACCGTTGTCCAAGACGCTTTGCTCTCCGCCCCGAGCTCCCTCCAGCGCTCCATTCATCCCCACCTCCCCTCCACTCCGTCCTCCCCTGCCCGTCCCAACTCCCTGGAGCCCCTCGCTCGCCGGCCGCGCTCACCTTTCCTCGCCCGCCGCGAGAGGGGGCGAACTTCCCGAGCCCCCCCCCCCTCACACACACACACACACCTCCCACCCCGAGCTCTCCTCGCAAACTTGGGCCAAGTTGGGGGGAAATTTCGGGAGCACGGCAGGAGCCAGGTTGGGCTGGGGTTCTCCTCTCCTGCCCGCCCTCCTCAGCGCCCCCCTCCACCTCACGCCGCCGGACTTGAGGAAAACACGGCCCCCGGGCGGCCCCAGGGGCGCGCGGGCACGGGGCTCACGTCTGACGAAGTCTAGAATAAAAAGGAAAGGAGGGTGGAAACTTCTTACCATCTCGGCATGCTGGTTGTCAAGTGCAGCCCCCGCCTCTTGGTCTCCTCTTAGCGGCCGCGCCTGGACCAGCCCCTCGGCCGCCTCTCGCTCCTTCTGTCTCGGCCTTTCTTTCCCTCCCCCTCCCGATTTCCTCCGGGCCGCCGCTCTCGCCGCCTCCGCCTCTCCCCGCCCGCCCGCCCGCGCGCGCCCTCGCCGCGGCCCCTCTGCGCTCAGGTGACTGATTTACACACGCGCCCAGGGTCGCCCTCGCTCTCCAAGTCGGAGCCTGCAGAGTTCCCCCGGCTCCTCAGGACAAAAAAAAAAAAAAGAGAGAAAGAAAAAAGGAACGGACTGTCCCGGGTGGAGGCTGCTGCGGGGGGCGGGGGAGAGACCCCCGGACGAGGTGACCTGGGGCGGATTTGCAAGCCCCACGAGTTTCTCCTCTGCAAAAATGTCGTGACTACAATGTTGCTTCCCTTTTGCAAAATAGAAGTGGGTTAGTTTTGTTGTTGTTTGGCCTCAGATTTCTAGGGGTTTCGTGAGGGAGGATGTATATTTCTCGCCCCCCCCACGCCCTGTTACTGCTCCCCCCGCTCCTGGTGGGGATGGAAAAACAACTTTGGCGCCCCCCGGGGGGTGCGGGCGTGGAGGTGGAGGTGGCCGCCAGCGCCTAGCTGTCAAAGAGAATCGCCGAGGAAAGGGCGCGAACTTTATTCCGACTGCGGCAAACCGTGGCGTCGCTTTCCTTTTCGGGCACTCGCCGGTCTCTGTCCCCTTTGACCAGTTCCTCCTCCCGCACCGCCGCCGCCTCCTTTCCCCTTCCCCTTTTTCTCTTTCCGCCGCGGCTGCCCCGGCGCCCCTCGCCCCCGCCAGCCCGGGTCCTCCGCGCGCCGCTGGACAGAAGGTGAGGGAAGCGGAGGAAAACCCAGGGGACGGAAACTCGGGACAGAACGTGCTGGGCGAAAAGGCGAAAAGTTGCGCGCAGCCAGGGGGGAAAAGTTGCTCGGGGCGGCGTGTTTTGTGCCGGCCCAGACGCCGGCTTGCGGCGAGGGCTTCCTTCCCCTTCCCCTAGTCTGGGCCGCGGGCCTTGGGCTGGAGGCGGCCCGGGGAGAGGAAGGGGACCGCCGCCTCCGCAGGGGAAGACGGGCCACATCTGTGGGTGACACTCAGCCGACCCGCGGAGTCGCAAAAACGCACACGCCTGCAGCTGAAGGAAATTTCTTAAATGCAGGGAAAACACTCCCGGGCCGCAAGTGGGGGTGGGGATGGGGGCGAGTTTAATCATCATCAGCTTTCTAACGTACACTTTGTGCCAAAAACATCTCCGCGTTGTGCAGATTTATCTTAGCTAGAGCAAACTTTCTGCTTTTCCGACATGGGAGGAAGGCACAGGTTTCAAGCATACTCTCTGAGCCCTGGAAATCGGAATCGTCCAGGACTTGCTTGGCAGAACAACAGGTTTGAATCATCCCTCCTTCCTTTCTTCCTTCCCCGAAGTCGAGGGGCAGAGAAACTGCCTCATTGCATCCAGAGGTCAGCATTAAATTCCTCTGAAAATATGTCGCCTTGGAATTAACATAGTTTTATTTTCTTTGATACACAGTCTGCGCTTAAGTTTAATATAAAATTTCACGATAATTGAAAAGAATATTTGGGGAGCCATGATGAGAGACTGGCCCAAGTAGCCACAGCTGTTCTGAAAATGTGATTAAGCTTATTATTCACGTGGATCCCGCTTTTTAACAGCGGGGCCGCCGCACCTGCAGTTATGTGTGCTGATTGGGTCCAAATTCCTGACCGTTTTTAGGCCCTTAGAAAGCAGATTTCAACTCATTTCTGTATTTGTATGACTCTCGGCATCATCTCGGTGTGGAAAGGTTTGTCTGGTAAATGCTTCTACTATATTATTTATAGTAAATACTTTGTAGAATTCTAGGCACATGGTTCATCTGGAGTTTTCTAGTGGGAGACAGATTACTTCTCTAGAGCATAAATCAGAGTAAAGACTATCTAATGACTACCCGTATATATAAATGCATGTTATCTAAGAAGGCTCATCTTTAAATGATTTGATTAAGGTGTGGAGCATGTTCCCTTATTCTGTAAACATCACTGTAACATCATCCTATAGTTTGTAGAAACTGATTACACAAGGGATAATGACAACCAAATGTGCATTCTGAGCAACTGAGGATCATCACAAGAATTCTCCGGAAATGAGCCAAGTTCCAGTGTGTTTTCCTGTATTATGGAGAGACGAGAAAAGCTAGTTGCTAATTTCAGAGTCATTACCCATACAAATCCATTCACACACTTACCGCTTTGGACAACTGACAGACCAGCAATTGCCAAACAATTGTATTCACACAGTGCATTTTTGGCTGTGCACCTACTCTGGCCAACAGCAGAAGTTATTCCACAACAAGTAACCTGTAATTTACATTCCCCTGATTGGTTCCAGAGCTGTCTGTTTTTGATGTTAGCATACAAACAATTTATGTGAGGCAAGATGTGTCTATTTGGGGTCCAGTACCTTTCTAGAGAGTCCGCATTATAAAAAGGGGTAATGTGTTGGGCTGAAGAGCAGCCCGAGGAGAAGGTGGAAGAATTGACAGAAGCAAATATATAGAGCATTCCACAGCCTCTTATGTCCTCCAGTGGGTTTGTATGGCAATTGGAATAAAACCTTAAGTCTTTTCTGTGTCCTGCAAGATTTTAATGATCTATATCTGTTGGACTTTTCACTCCTCTATTATATTCCTCTCATGAATACGCTAAAGTCACACTGGCTTGCTTTCTGTGCGCCTTGCCAAGCTCCTTCCTGCTCTCTGCCCTGCTCTCTGCCCTGCTGTTCTTTCTACGTGGAATATTCTTCCACGTTTTCCAGTGCTTTCGTCTTACCCATCACATTTCAGCTCTAACTTCACTTCTTTAGATCCTAATTAAACTAGCTCTTTGCCCACATCCTGAAACACCCCTCACATTTTGTCCCATTACTTACTTTTCTTTATATGCCTTAGAAGTAACTGAAATTACCTTTTTAAATGCTTATTAGTTTTCTGCAACTAAAATGTAAGCTCCATGGGGGCAAGAGCTGTATCTACCTTGTTCACTTACATAGTGTCAGTCCATAAAACAGTGCCAAGCACAAAATAAACTCTTAGAAATATTGTTTGAATTAAAGAAGAAAGTCAAAATCATCACACTATATTAATGATGACCTTAGGGCCAGACAAGTTCACTCTTGTGAGTGCTAGATCTGTTCTTTTGGGGGTGGAGTAAAACCTGTTGACTTCCTGTACCAGTGATCCTCAGAGTGTGGTCTGGTGCATCCCTGTATATCCCTAAGACCCTTTTAGGAGGGCCATGGGGTCAAAACTATTCTTATTATATACTGAGAAATTATTTGCCTTTCTCATTCACATTCTGTCACAAAAGTACAGCAGAGTTTGTTAAAGGCAACATGACCTGATATCCAACAAACCGAATGCAGAAGCCAAAATGAAAAATCTACCTATCTTGTTATAATCACTTTAAGGAGACTTACCAAAAAATGTAAATAAGTGCCACTCTTATTTTTTTTTGTTGTTCTGGAAAACAATTATTTTTTCATTTTATAATATGGGTATGTATTCATTTCCTATTGCTACCATAACAAATTACCACAAATTCAGTGGCTTAAAACAATAGAAATTTATAATTCTAGAGGTCAGAAGTCTGAAATGAGTTTCACTAAGCTAAAATCAAGGTGTCTACAGGCCTGCTTTCCTTTCTGGAGACCCAAGGGGAGAATCCATTCCCTTACCTTGTCCAGCTTCTAGAGACCACCCACATTCCTTGGCTCAGGATACCATACCCTTACATCTCTAAAGCCTATGATAGATAGACGTGTCTTATCTTTATCACTCTGACATTGCCTCCTTTCACTTATACCTACCCTTGTGATTATATTAGGCCCATCTAATAATCCAGTATAGTCTGCCTATCTCAAGATCCAGCTCCACATCAACTTAATCACATCTGAACATATTCACAGGTAGCCAGGATGAGGATGTGGACCTTCATTCTGCCTACCACAGTACGTAACAAATGATTGGCCTATTATTTTAAATGAATTAATAACTAAAAATCTTCGGAGTTTAAATTTATGATACAATAAATACCAATAGCTATTGCCCACATAAACCAAAGCTCTTTGCAGTCTTCAATAATTTCTAAGAGGTCATAAGACCAGTTTGAGAATCACTGGCCTGCGCAATAGCTATTTTCCCTTCTTCCATGTCTCAAGTTAAACTAGATTGCACTAAACTGATTATGCTAGCCCTGTTTCCTTTGTTGTGATTGGTTTAAGGATGGGCATGTTACTTAGTTCTGGCTGATGAAGGATGAGGGGAAATCATTGAGGGACTTGAAGATAAGATTTTATTCATTAAAACAAACAAAAAGACTGGCAAGAAGTAAATTGTCCCTGTTCTGCTCTGAATGTTAGGATGGGAGAATGTGGCACCTGAAACAGCTGCATCCACCTTGTGACCAGACGGGAGTCCACACACTTGGGATGACAAGGTAGGCAGGTGGAAAGCACATGAGCTCTTGATTTTGTTTTTGACTTGCTGAATTAACCAACCCCAGGTGGCTTGAGACTCCTTATTATGTGATGTAATTCATCCCTTTATCATTTAGGCCACTTTAAGGTTACTTTTCTGTTACTTGCTGCTTAGAGCTTCCTAAATGTTATGGAGAAATAACAGGTCTGTGTCATGTTTTCATGCAGGAATTCCTTCCTATTATTTTCTATCAAATTTATATTTTTTTTCCAAATTCTGAGAAAGATCTGTACAGAAATCAGTAAAATGGGGAAAGCATTATAATTCTCCTTTAAGAATGAGAACTTAACAATCATTTTAGAGACATTACTAGTTCAAATGAATACAAAAGCAGGAAATGCTGACACACATAGTTGTAAGTTACTGGTGACCCTTCCAAGAAATGGTAACCATCTAACCAGTTAGTTTTGTTTGTAGTTATGGCTGCATTATAATTGTGTGTTCACAGCCCTGTCTGCTGCTAGTGATGAGTCATTCTTGCGAATTAAGTAAATGTAAGTTTATTTGCATAGTATATTCTATACAGTTCCTATGAGTTTTGTTCCAAGAAATACCTTGTTTTAGAAACCAAGTAAGTCCTTAAATTAAAAAATTTCAACATGTGATTTTGTGCAGTGCTGTTAATCTTGCTAGGAGATTCTAAGTTATGTTATTCAAATACTGCCCAATATATTCGCAATGGACTACAGTTTTTTGTAAATTCTTTAACCTAAGAAATGCAAAGAGAAGGAAATAAAAATGTTATTGTGGAGGGGAAAAAATCTGAGCATAAAAAAACAACTCAATTTCAGTGTCAAAACCAAAATTAAGCCAGACAAAATATTTTCACCCTCAAAAAAATGAGTTTATGTGGAACAACATATAGGCTAATGCTCAGCTTGAGGATGCTTTCAGACTCACGATTAACAATTTGACCAGTGTTAACATAAAATGAAAGAAATTTTTCTGAGTAGAAGTTAATCATGAAACAAAGATCAAGACTATCAAAGAAAGCAATAATGTATTCTAAGTTTTAAAACTTCATTTTAACAATAGTAATTTGTAAATACTAAGTATTTGTTATTTGATCTTACAGTTTTTAATGTGTTTTGTTTAGGATTTATCTTGATGTTTCCCTTTTTTTTTTTAGTGATTTCCATTATTAAATATCCTTATCAGGTAGACTTAATTTTATTTAAATATATAATGTTTATTACTTAATATTATATACTTAATGTTATTTAAATATATAATCTTCTAATAAGTATATTAGTTCATAATACTAATAAACCATGCATTATTATGTTACTTTTTACAGAAAACTTGTAACCTTATCACAGAAAAAGGATTCACTATTTATGATTATGATCACTATTATTTAATAATATACAAGTGAAGGGTTATATAAATACAGAATAACTTATATTTGGGGAAATCTCAGGAACTTCCGTTCTTCTTCCTGAATCCAAAGATCAGTATCTGTCAGGAATTTGAAAACACAAGATCTATATTTGTCACACCAAAGTATTTCTAAATTGTTCCACCTTAGAATATTTTTCAAATTCTGCATTATTTTATCATTATCCATTAATCATTTTGTGGATAAATGCCCCACAAATATTGATCCCAATCTTCATTCTCTTTGACTCTCAGATGCATTTGATATTGTTTGTCAACTGCTTTCCAGAACTCTCCCCTCTGGTGGTTTCTTTCACACTCTCCTTCATCACTGCCTCTCCCCACTGCTTCACACACTCACTCTTCCCCACACACATCGTGGAAGTTGCCCATAAGGTCAGACCTCCCAGCCTTTCTTCTGTCTTTATTGTGGTCTTTTTCGGTGTCTGAACCATCCCAACTGCCACATGATCTCTATAATCATTTCTGTTTCCCCCAGTTCTACTCCCTTTGCTTATATTGTCAACACAGATCTTGTAAGTTAATGCTCAACAAATAGCTTATCTTCACCTCAAACTTAACCTGACACTGAAACCATCAACAACCCTTCCTTTTTCTGTCTTTGCTGTTCTTTCACTCAAGGGTAAACCTTGTATTCATCTTTGAACCATTTTTTCCTTGCCTTCATTTTCCAAATCAGGTCATTTACAAAATCACAAAGAAGTTCCTTTCATTTACTCCTGTTTGTCCGTTCCTGCTTCCTTCATATGACCACCATTTTTTCAAGTTAACAAGTGCAACAATTTTTCAGTTATACTCCTTATATCCACCTTGCACTTTCATTCTAATCCATTTGCTGCCAGATTTTAGCTGTTTCAATTCTATTTCTATTACATGTCCCTCCCTTGCATAATAGGTGGCTAAATAAGTAACTCTTCCAAGTCACCCTGCTTTCTACCATGTTGAGCCAAATTGTAATGTTTGCTTTTCAAAGCTTACTTTTATTCAACTTTCACACTTACTACAGTGCCTGGTACCTAGTAGTTGATCAACAAATTTATGTTGAATGAATAACTTACCATATCTATACAATGTTTTTTCCTACATGAACCTGCTGCTCTAGTCAGATAAGGTTCCCCTCAAACATGTGTGATCATCTCTACATTTTTCTCCTGACTTTCTAACTGGATGCATACCTTTCTCTTTACCTACTCATATCTGTACCAGTTTGCTGCCACCAAAGGTCATTTGAAATTGCTCAGAAAACGAGGTACAACTACATTAAGATCATTTATGATTATAGTTAAAATTTATTATCTATTATCTACCATGTGTTAGATTCTTTATCATCTTCTTTACATATTATTGAATCTTTCCAACACACTGTAGAGTTAGACATTATCCTCCCTGCCATGTGGATAAAAAAGAGGCTTGGAAGCTTTAAGTATCTTGCCTAAGGACACACAGCATGTAAGTGTTAAAGTGAAGATTGCATCTCAGGTTTATCTTCTAGTCCTAAATACCACCCATCTTTCAAGGATTTGATCAGATGCCACATCGTTCCTGAAACCTTCCTTTATTTCTGTGGCTTTCTTTCTCCTCTGAGCTTCTACAGCATTTATAGTCTGGATCATTGATTCATCACCTAATTGCATGCTGTTTGTGCATTTATGGTTGTTTTACATGTGTCTATCTTATCTCGTTAACGAGAAAGTAAGCTCTTTGAGGACAAACCCTAATGATACATTCTCAACCCCTCATCAAACCTGGAAGAGTTATAGGCACATAAACAAAGAAAAGTGTTTAATGAAGTAACTTATGAAAACATCTTAGACATGAAATAATTTCAGATGAAAAGCATATTTCTGTAGGAATTAAAGTCCTTTTTTTTTTTTAAGATTTTATTTATTTATTTGACAGAGAGACACAGCGAGAGAGGGAACACAAGCAGGGGGAGTGGGAGAGGGAGAAGCAGGCTTCCCGTGGAGCAGAGAGCCCGATGCGGGGCTCGATCCCGGACCTGGGATCATGACCCGAGCCGAAGGCAGACGTTTAACGACTGAGCCACCCAGGCGCCCCGGATTTAAAGTCCTCTTATCACAGATTCTAATGGTACACGTGCTTATGATAAAGTTTTGCTTCCAGTTGTGTCTGGTCACTTAAACATTAGGGCCAGGCCACTTTCTGTTGGCTTTATTGTAATTGCATACTCTTTTGATGCATTCACTTGTTGCTTCACTCATGTAGTATGTCAGCTGCTGAAGTAGGAAGAATCTTTGTTAAAGCCTCATTGCTTCTGAGTTCTGTGGATAATTGCCATGTAATTGTGTCAAACAGAGCCCCCCTCCTTATGTATCTTTGCTCATCTCCTGTGTTCTCTGTGCTTGTGTAGCTAAAGTCATCTTTCTCCTAGCAAGAAAATATGTATCTCCTTTATGTACTACATACTTCTTGCTCCATCCATATATAACTGTTTAGCACTTGCCCTGAAAATGCTTTAAAAGTGTGCCTGGTTAATTTTTAAGGCCCTCATTCTTGTCCTTCACATATAAGCCATTTGTCTTCTAATTTGCCTTATATAAGCAAAGGCATTTATTATTTTGCTGGACTAATGCTATTCATTTATATAAAACTATGACTCAACTTGTCTAGCCTAAAAAAATACAAGTACCCAAATTACCAACCAAAGTTAAACACCTTCCAAGTTTGGTTTTGTAGCCAAATAAAACTCACAGGAAGTAATTTACATGAAAGTCCATCAAGTCAACAAGTATGAGACTGATGGCCATTTTGATAAAGTTGATGAGATTAAAATGCTGTAGGGCTTTAGGCCAGGTGTAAAGAGGTGAAGGTTGAGCTGAAAACATGGTTTACCTAGAGAGGAAGACCCTATTTACCTTCAGCTGAGCTACTGCATCTTCTGGGGACCAGAAAATAGGAAGTAACACTCACTGAATACCTACAAATCACTTTACCCAGATTATCTCAGTTCATTTTATCAACAACCCTGTATAAGGTAGTTATCATTCCCATTTTACAGGTAAAGAAATTAAAGCTCAGAAAGAATAAATAACTTTGCAAAGGCCCCAGGGCATAAAAATATAAAACCCAGAATTATAGCGCAAGGTACCAGTTTCCATGTCAATGCTTTGTCCGCTAATAGGCATATGTACTAATTGACCATATGGTCTCATACTCTCTGACTCTTACATCACCAACGACTTTGGGGGAAAATCCCAATCACTTAGTTACATAGCAGTAACGGGCACCCCAGCCCGTAAACAGGACTGAGCAATTGTATGGCCTTCTATCTACTTTACACATAGTTAAGTGTACCGTGCACTTTGTAGCTTTATATTGTGGTCTTCTTTTATTTCTAGATTTGTAGTGGAGAAATAGAACGTGTATGTATCTTTAGCTTAGAAGTGGTTAACATTCTTCCCTCCCAAAGATTTTAGTACAATAGGCATTGACAATGTTATTATTTAAGATTTTTTTTTTTTTTGAGAAGTGCCTTCTGGTATAGCAGGCAAAAGCAATCTGGTGGCTTTGTGTGATTGCTATTCACACTTGGTAATGAAT